AGAATATCACCAACCAAACACACATAAACTTAAATACACTCATGAATAAGCTTCATGAGTGGCAATCATTTCTTTATCTACAAATAATGCAGAATTGTTTATTTGCACTTCCTTTACATTTTAGGGGAGCTGCTGAATAGACTTTTCAGGCTAAATGGAGGAAAGGGAGGTTGGAAAGCTTGTTTTTTCCTTTCGACAACACCCCTCTCGGTCCCTTTTAAGTACTAAAAGACCTTCCTTTGTGAAGAGATGCTATTAATTCATGTCTACCCTGCTTAAGACACGAATATAGTCGACCGGCGTTTAATTAAAGATTATCTTTGAATAGGCGAGAACTTCAGTCTAAGGGGAACGATCATTGTCTTGGTAACCCAATTCTTCTGAAGGACAGTAAAGTTTCTAAAGCAAGAATTGAATAAAGAATATTTCGTAAGGCAGTTAAGTAGTATAAATAACCAGAAATGTAATCTAGTACTATCATCCAGCAAGGGTAAAGCTACCTATGAATTCTACTTCATTAAAGCTTTAGTCTACGTAATCGAACAATCTATCACTTGCTACCTCAAATTTCATCTACCTTTCGTCTCGGAACCATCTGACTGTTCCGTTTGGCATGTGATCACGTGAATGCCAAAAGCTGATGTCAAGTAGAGTTGATCAACGTTACCAGGTTGAATATCAGAAGGTATACTCACCCACTTAAAAGGAAAACATCCTATTATAGATATTCTCCATGACATGCGATGTTAGATATGGAGTTTCGCATTTTGACCAAATTCTTACATGATTTCCAACAAATTCACTAGTTCTGACTGCTATCAAAGGAAATATTTTTCATATACATCTTTGTCGAGCGGATTAGTCTCCATCAAAGTTATGGATTGACCTCCAGCTGATTTATAATTTTTAGTGCACAGTCCGTCGCACCAACGCCTCCAAGCATAAAAAGAGGGTATGTGTCTTGGGAGTTTGGGGGTTGGCAGTGACTGGAGCATTAGAGATAACCAATAGTAGGCTGGATGGCTTAACTTAAAAACTTATAAAAACCAATTCTCATCACTTATCATTCAGTTAAAAATCTTAAAACGATGCGTTTTAATGGAGCGAAAGAAGTTGCTCTCTAGCATTTAAATGTGACTGATTTATCCATCAGCTCCCAGTAGCTGTACAACCGACTTTTCCCTCCCAGTCGGCGTAGATGTAAACCAACTGTCTCATCACTTTTGGTATACAATTACTGGCAACTGCGTCGTTTTGAAAAATACTTACAATGGCTACACATATTTCTCAAATCTAATCAAAGTCTTTTTCATCGGAATCATATTTTTATAAACCATTTTCGGATGGCTAGCTCTGACGCTGTACACCACGCCTCCAGGTTGCATTGAGCAAATATTTTAAAACCTTTTTCGAACCCATCATTGGAAGGGACTTTAATTCGGTTTGTAAATTGCAGAAGCCTGAATCACACCTATGAGGTGTGAATAGGTCAGGTTACAAATAGGAGGAAAGTGGTAGGGACCAAAAAGGGGAGTACCGTGCCAGTAGAATGATACTTTGATCTGTGCTTTTTAAGGGGTTTTGCGTGTCTCTACGGGCTCTATATAAAATAGGTCATTTTTTTCGCTACTTTTATCAATAGCTGAGTGACCTAAGGTATAATTTTACTAAACGGGCTGAATTACTAATAAGTAGGGCAACACAAGTTTCAAAACTTTGCGACATTAATTCGTTTAAAAGTCCTGTCCATCTACTGAAATAAATTAATCCTAGCATTTAGAAAGCTCTCGTTGAATGAACGCTTAAGATGTTAAAATACTTTATTTTAGGCGAAGTTTAGCTGGCTTCAAACATCTAAAGCATTCTAGGGATTACATTTGAGCCTAAAACTAATGAAGTATTAGCAGAAAATGCGTGATTAATAGCAGATGAGGAGTGACTAAACTTATTACAATAATCTAAATTTCTCTCCCATACTTTCCATTTTGAATTTGCAAGATTACATTGAATTATTTCTTCTGCAAAAGACTACCTGTGGTATTCGATGGTAACTCCCAATCCTGTTGATTGCCTATCGAAGCCGGAGGCAAAGTAATAAGGTGTTATTATATTGCCTGGATCTCTCAATACAACTGAAGGAGTCTCTTGACCCGGAGGTTGCAGACAGGTAAAGGGTACGGCTAGGTCACAGCAGTGACGATCTACTTGACATAATCTCCTTGACCTAACCAATCATAACTCTTCCCTTTTTAAAGGAACCAAGAGGGATATGTTGTGTAAGCCATTTCTGGAAAAAAATACACTCGTACATTTTTTTGTTGGAAATAATCTAATATTCTCTACTATTTCCAGCAAAAGTTGTAGTATAAACATTTTAATATTTAGTGCCCTGGTTTTGGGGTTGAGACTACAAGAAACCGCGGAATATGTACAACGAATAAGAGCCTGTTTGTGTAAATCATTATTTTTTTTTTTTACTTGTTTCTTAATACGAAATCAAGACAGATAGTATTCGTTCAACAAACAGTAATTCGGTTGTTGCTCTTCCTCCTGCTACGATTTTCTTCTACAAACCTGCGAACTATTTAGATTTATGATCATTGTGGCAATCCTTAGGCTTCCTTGTAAATTATTTTTGTAGCAAATTGTTAAAATTCCAACTATGGTCTCGAAATGTGTCTCTTTACCAAGACTTCTCCCATTACCCGAAAGGGACCGATTTCCACTAAGGCATAAAATTACCCTTCGCGTTGGAAACATCCATCCATCAATTTGTACATATTTTGACATTTTTTAAATAAAAACTTGTTTTTTTTTGAAATAACGACTTAGGAAACAATATTTCAAAAACTTTGAAAGTACGATTTCAAGAAACACTGCCTACATGATCAAATTACAATGGCATATTCCTCTACTAAAATTACTTAGTCCGAAAATATGTGCGTGCCAACTTTTCCTTACTCATGTTTTCTAGAGGATGTGGTCTTAAACATGTATGATTGCTAATCTCGAGAAAATGAAAAAAAACTACAAGGAATGTCCTCATTCTCACCGAGAAAGCGCATTATGGGAGGCTTCTTATTACTAGAGGCCAAATACTCTGGCCTGCTGCAGTGAGAAAAACGGGTTTTTACGTGCATATGTGGTGTGACAAAATGTTTATTAATATTTTCATTTTTAAAAAGGCTACGTTTATTACTTCCAACTTGGCGTAATTCGAGGAATGTTGGATACGTTGGATCAGAGCTAGCTGACTTTCTGGCTACCAGCTAGCCGAGTTCGTTATTTTTATCCCTTTCTTGGGAAAGCGACTCTCAACAAAATCAAAATGATTCCAAAAATGGCAGTTTTCTAAAGCAGACAGTTTGTTGCAGTCATCCAACTTGTGGAAGCCCTATGCCAATAAGTTTAATTGCAAATGGCGGAGGACCTTGGAGGAGAAAATTCTAAGGTGCGTCTCGAATGCAAAACAAAGTTGTGTAGCGATAATTTGGATAGCTTAGAATGAAAACTGATAAAAGAATTGCCGTAGAACAACAGCTATATCTAGGTTTGACTTACATCAGTTCCCACAGATCTAAAGATGACACCATTTTTTATCGCATAATTAAATAAGAAAGACCGCAAATTTTTTATCGCTATCCAGTGCCTATAATGAAAGCCTAAACCTGTCTCAAGGGAGCCTTTTTGGATAGAGAACACAAAAATTAACATAATTTGGTGCATATAAATGATAACATTTGCGACGATTATCCTTCTCAACCAATTTACTTATACTTAACCAGTGGGTCTCCTTCCTTCTCGCGGTTCCGTCATCGTGTTGCTGTCAGCGTTCACAGTCTTCTATACGTATATAACTTATGGCTTCATCAAAAGTCACCAAAATCTCTTTACTATTAACTCGTCCGCTCTTGGAGATGCGTTTCAAGACATATAAGCAGCGTCCAGCTAATCGTTTAGCCCACCTCGCCAATACTACTCCTAGGATCATCAGGTCACCAATTTGATGTGGCATATGAGTTCTCTTTGAAGATACTATGAGATTTTGGCTTTAAGCCACTCTCTGCTACAACAGCACAGAAAGTCTAATCTGACGTTAAACTAAGTGAAATGGTCGTCACGGCCTGATATCTATAAAACTGATAAGTAGATAAACATACTACTTAGATCTCTCGACGAAAACCATATTTAAGAAAGTGCTAAAAATAGTCTAATCTCATAAATGATTCCAGGAAGCTTGCTTAAAAATGAAATGGCAATGGACCATATCATAATTTACAAATTTATCCTGCAATGATCGGAGCAAATTACCAAATGTATTGCCTCCTAAACCGATCGCTTAATACCTAATGATCATGTTTGAATTCATACAAAGAATACCAGGAGGGCAGGAAGAAGTAGAGCTAAATGTGGACTTCATGTTTCCAAATCAATGCTTAATTTCCGATGTATGGTCACCTTTCACAAAATGGCATCATTTGGCATTAACCCTTGCAGTGGTGCTGACCATGAATTGCACTGGTGTCACCAACATCAAGCTGTGGGTTATATGATATGAGTGGGAAAAAGAGCAGATACCCCTTTAATCTCAGCCAGGAGGCATCACAAATTTGATTCGACAAGAATAAAATAGTTCTTTCTGACATTCTCATGGCATGCACTTGGGCAATAAATCCTTTTTAAAGAAACTAAAATTTATTTTCTTGGCTTATTATCGAAAATGGCTTTTATAAACTACTAGAACATGCCTGAGATTATATTAAGAAAGTGGTCAAATGAGCAAATATCAGAAAAGTGCTTCAGCTAAATTGAATTATTAACACGAAACTGGCGGTAATTGAATAATGCTTATAAAGAAATGAATAAAATGTTCACGCATAATATTCGACGTTGAAGAATTTCCGGTTGACGAGCAGCAGAGGGGATTACCTCCACTAAGTGTAATTCTTACTGACTGCCATTTTCATCCTTTCGAGTAGTCTAACGCTCTAAAGTGAACTTCAAACGACTGAAGTTAAACTTTTTTGTTGTGTCCCAAAATCTTGGCGATACTTTGGAAGAAAGATATCTACGTGGATTATGAAACGGTAAAAGACAGTTATTTGCAATCTTAACTGTCTTGATTTAGCACTAATTATTTATTTAACATTTCATTTTGAATAAACTGGCGCTTAAGGTGGTATAGCCTCTGAACCGCATCGGCAGTACCTAGAATTTCTGTTTGTCAATGATAATTGTGCTGGTATTGTTTCATGAATTCCTTCGCCTTCAGGAGACTTGGGGTGCTACATCGGTAGCAGCGATTTCTGTTAACAAGGGGCAAGTCCTAACATGAAAGATAGGAGAATATGCAGCTACCCCTAACAGAGGGGTTAAAATGATGTCAACCTCCGGCAGCTAACCCATTCTTGTATTCTTTAGGAATGCCATTTATAACTGAAGCGATACTAGTAGTAGAACTGGAAAGTGTATTACGAAGTAGTCTATGCTACCTGTATGAAATTGTCACCTCCACCTCTCTGCTATCCAGATAGATATGGTTGAACAGAACTGAAGTGAGAATGATGTGGTAAGGAGGAATAGACGCGAGAATTTATACTTATGAAACTATTGTAAACCCAGTATTCTCTCAACTAGCGATGAGTTCACGCGATGGTCTGCACATTTGCCCTCCGCCCATTACAGTTCTCTAGCAGGACGGAACGCCAGGTCCAGTGGAATTGTCAAGAGGGAACAGTGACGCTGCAGTCGGATATTGTCCCAATTGTAGTTGACTGGGGCTTTGAAATCGTGGATAGTTTTATTATTTTACCGAATACGGTGCGATGGCTAACTCAGGTGGTTGATCATGGGAAGTGTCGACAATCTAAAGGCGAGTGGCTATGCAATACTTTGAGCATTTACTTCATGCTTCGTTTTGATTCGGCAGCCACTGAAGTACGCGGCCATTATACTTCTGCTCAGCCGTATGGTCTCTGGACCATACCCGTAGCCCTCCAACCCTTCTATAGGTCAATTACATGTATTCTGGCATAGTAGTAGCCTTCTTTCGATTTTGAGGAAGTCTCTGGGCACTACATTAATATAAAATTCATCACAAGTTACTTTAGAAAAAATTAAAGGGAATAAGCACATAAAATGAATAAGTGAGTTTTGGGGAAGTGTTCTTTAGTAATCACTGGTGTTTTAAACAATATTTATTTCCATGAGCTTCACAAACACATCGTCTTTTTCTGCAATTTGAAAGTCTTATAAGATGGCTAAAAGTATAGATCTAAATAACCATAAAATGGGTAATCAGTTCAACGATTGTTATTAATCAGGTTGCGGATGGTTACCAGAACACGATAATATCCATGAAACTGTTTAAATCTACTACTTCGAGTTACTGGTGTCAATTCATTCCTCCTGCACCATGCTGTCGAGCCTCAAGTCCTCCCTAAAATCGTAACAAGTCGCACCTGTAGGGAGTTTGATTTATCATCAATGCACAGAAAGGCTGGTTGGCGAAGCCGAAGCACAACGACAGAAGATGATTTACAAAACCTTATTCGCAGACAACATTTTTCCATTTGTATAAAAAACGGGTAATATGTGAGTATAGGTTGAGCATTTGCTCCTCAACATAAAATAGAGTAATGAAGGGAAATAAAAAGGAGACTGGGAAGGAAATGGGGTGGAGCATTCAACCGTCTTTGAGATTAAATTAAAAATTCCACCTACACAGGCGCAGCGTATTCTTCAGTCGGAATTGGGGAAGTGTGTAATTAACTTTAGCAGTGAGAGGGATTTGCTCCTGTAAAACGATGCAGTTATGCAAAGATATAAAATAACCTTAGCCCAGCACCACTACCGCAAACGAAGAGTGGAGTTAGAGAAGAGGATAGTAGCTGGTGAATAAATCACAGTTGGCGTCTAGTCCAAAGACTTCCACTGTTAGATCAGGTTATAATTTTAACTACTCAACGGTTTAATGACACTACCAATGCAAACAAAGTGTGTTAAAATGTCTAATTTTGACAAGTCGTTTTACGGTGAGAGAAGGAAAAGTAGTTTGCAAATGTTATGGAATATAGTGATTGTGCTATTTTGGAGGACTGCAGAGGTGGAAATAGAGCCACGTTTTGTTGAAATACACTCCTATAAAAGTGGCCATTAGTGCTTCTACCCCAAGAATGTAGTTGACGTTGTTTGTATGTGGGACGCTGATATATGGGTCAACGGACCATGAGAGAAGCCTGGCTATCACTAAAGAAATATGTTTTTCGTGGGCCGGAGGAATGTGGGATCCAAAGTGTTTTACATTAAAGACATTATCTTAATCATTTTAGAAATATTTAGAAATCTTGAAATGGTACTCCGACGTCCTGATTAATCGCCTACCGAATCCAATCGTCAAATATAGACGATTTCAATCAGGTAATGCCAAATTCACGAAGATGAGATAATTTCGCCAAAGTCATTACGGCCATATTTTAGGTAACAGTTGATAAAATAACAACCTATTTTCCCGCACTTTTTGATTTCGTTCTTATCTATAGTGAACTCACTCTCGTCTAAATACGAGTGACTATCTTTTTTGAATGTTAGACTGTCAACTGGTTAAAAAAACCATCACCCCCAATTGGAGCTCTGATGCGTAAGAACACCATTTTTGGTGTGGAACAAATGTGATTCAATTACTTTAGTCATGAAAATAAATCTTATCAATTTTTATGACCAACCCACTTCAAGCAATCTTAGTTTTGTGAAGAAATCAAAAGTGGACATCTCTAGATTTGTACTTTTAGTAGACCTCTTCCAAAACGGAGTGGATGAACTTTACTAACACATAATCAACAACTTTAAATTCGCTGACATTTTAATTTCGGAATATGACATGTGGACTATAACTAATAAAGTATAAAAACTGTATATTGGCCATGAAAGTAAATCAAAAGGGAGTGTAGACTGATGCAATGCGTCGACATTTCCAGCCTTCCCTTCCCTATGCAACTAAAACTACCGATGAAAGGCAAATCATCATCGAGGTTACCTGTATTCTTGAGGCTGCCTTTGAAAGTGGCCCAAACCACTTTGAATTTGGGTCGCGCAGGCACTTTGTAACCTCTACAGCCGAACTCCACTTGTGGTGTAATTTTCCATCTCAAATTGCCTCTGTCCTTCGCAAGTCATTATCCTCAACACGGTGACTCACCAACATACTCAAAGCTCCCGCATTTATTTACGACAAATTTTAACCTGAAAATTAGATGAAAAACGCCACTAATGCTCCAGTGATTTTGCTGTTCTGCGCTCAGTCTACCGCCACAGGGGGAATTCCCTTTACTCCAAGTGATTTAATTCGAAAACTGATCCAACCGGTTGATTAGCTACCATCTTGTGATATTTTTATCACTTGCATTTCTAATTAAACGTCTAGCGAAAAATAGCCTACTAGTCACGAAATTTCCCTATTAGTCACGATCAAAGCCGTGTGCTAAAGTTGGCATTGATTGTGAAAATGACCCGTAGGCGTGCCGGTTTGACGAGGGCAAAAGTGAGTAGACATGGTAGAGTTTGATTACCGCCGTAGAGACCAGAATACCATCGAAACCCAATCATGCCCACATTCAACTGGGTCTACAAAGATGTCATCCAACGGCACACGCATCTACACACGAATTTGATGCCGCGCGCGTATGAGTGACGAACAGCCTCGCCACTTGATTGGCTCTCGCTCTGGCAACGAATCGATTCCCGGCCTGTCTGTCCACTCTGCACAGCCTCTGCTGCTCTTACCTGTTCGTGCGTGTTCGCGCGTGCGTACGTATGTGTGCGGGTGCGTGCGCGGCATTCGCTTCCTCCCCTTTGCGTGGTCGTGTACGTACACACACGTACAGGCATAATTTTGCCGGGATAATATGCATGCGCTGTTTCGAGGCTGCGCCTGGGAATTAAGTTTGGCTAATTAACCACGGCAATTCCACCGCACACGGTAACACGGCATCAGGCTGATTCGTTCCAGCGTAGCCAGCAAGTCCAACCTCCACGCCCAACACTCGCCAACCCCTCACAATCGACAGCGGCTCCCGAACCACACAAAAACGCCTCGGCTGCCACAAAATTCACCTCCTCCACCCTACGTTGAGGTAGAACCCAGTGCGCCGCCATACATCTCACTGTCTACTGACGAGGATCCAGAAGACCTGTTCAAAGAAATCGGCATGCCCTCTGTGTCTTTTGCCTCCGACCCTGCCAATAGGGGAGGTGGGTCTGGAGGGGGAGGAAATGGCGAAGGAGGAGGCGGGGGAGAAGAGGCCCAATTACGGGTTCCTCAAATGCCTCAGATAGCTCGGGGCTTCTCTCTCGTTCCAGAACGTCTGGGCAGTAAGGGAAACAATCCTGGCGGCGGATCTAGCAGCAATCCCTCCAAACAGAGACAAGGAAATAAAGGCATGTTTGGATGTGAAGCCGCTATCCGCATTCTCGCCTACTTTGCTGTGCTCGTGACACTCCCCTTCTCTCTGGTGATGTGTCTTAAGGTGATTGCCCAATACGAGCGCGCTGTGGTGTTTCGTTTGGGTCGACTTGTCTCCGAGATCCCCAAGGGACCAGGTCTAGTGTTCATTCTCCCCTGTCTGGATAATGTCAAGACCATCGATTTGCGCACGTTCACATTCAACGTGCCTACACAGGAAGTTCTCACCAAAGATTCTGTGACAGTGGCAGTAGATGCTGTTGTCTACTACAGGATTTTTGATCCTGTAATGTCTGTAGTCAACGTAGAGGATGCGAATCGTTCCACGCGTCTCCTGGCCCAAACTACGTTGCGGAATGTTTTAGGTACCGTCGATTTGTACCAACTACTGACGGCACGAGAACAGATCGCGCATTTGATGCAGGACTGTCTAGACACTGCAACAGAAACATGGGGTGTAAAAGTCGAACGCGTGGATATTAAGGACGTCCGTCTGCCCATCCAGCTTCAACGCGCTATGGCGGCTGAAGCCGAGGCAGCCCGAGAAGCAAAGGCTAAAGTGATCGCCGCAGAAGGTGAACAAAGAGCCTCAGTTGCTTTGAAGGCAGCAGCTATGGAGATTGGCGAATGTCCAATTGCGCTGCAGCTGCGCTATCTACAGACCCTCTCCAGTATCTCCGATGAGAAGAACTCGACAATTATTTTCCCTCTGCCCATAGATCTTTTGAGCCTCTTCCACCAGGCCTATACCTCCAATCTCTCCTCAGCGGGCCATCCACCAAGCGAAGGCACACTACACAGCGAGGATCTTCCACCACCGCCGCCGCAGAGAGCCTCTGTGGTTCATCAGAAATCCACCACAGATACTCTCGAGGAGGCACTCATTTAAGCAACATCCAGACCAATCCGTCTACTAGTGCCACCACCAATACCACTGTTATCTGGCTTACAGCAACCCTACACTGTGTACATAAGCAGCACTCAGCACAGGTGAGAGGAAGATGACGGGAAGGACAATGATGATCAATCTGATACTTCTTTGCCATTTCACACCTACTGCGTCACCACTAACACCACTACTACTACCAACACTAACTCAAAAATGTGATTGATGAAGTGAATCCCTCTCTTCTTCGTTCTCAATGTCGCAAACCCGAGCCGTACGTTCTTGCTTCCCTGCTGTTGTAATGCGTGTAGCATGAGTGTAGCCGAACTCCCATACATTATTTCGCTCTAAAGTGACATTTCTGTAAAGACACCATTTTGGCGGTGAATTTGACGTCGTATTGGTGATTTGACATGCCTTTTAGAGATAGCTCAAACTGAAAGGTTGCTCTTTCGGAAATGGTGAAGGTGTTTTCTCCTGCAGTCTTTGAATGGGGGACAATGAAAGGTATCAGCTTGTCTAGAGTAACAATTGATACATGTGTGCTGCTGTTCTGACAACTTACGGCAAATCATTCTCGCATTTTAAAGCAGGAAATTAATTCCTTCAGGAGGCATATACTGTAAGTCCTGCTAGGTTTTCTAGCATTGCTAATAGCAAACAGTGCCCAGTTTGGGTAAATTGTTTTTAAAATAAATCCCAAATATTTCCAAAATCACAAGAACAAAATTAGGATTGAGCTAGAAACTTTTTGGTCTATTTCAATTTTATTATGGTTTTTGTAATAAAAGTTAAGTGTCCTTGTGATAAGAGAATGCAGTCCACTTCTGCTCTTTTATTCACCGAACCACCAGTCATGTTTCAGTATTTACTACTTCCTTTGTGCATGAAAAAAAGATTTCCTTCTCAACAAAGGGAAGTGCTTAGTTTTAGGCTTACCGTGAATACTGTAGGAGCTGCAAAGTTTTCGGTTTAACTGCCATATTTTCTTTGCAAAATTTTATACCACGTTATGATGTTTTAAAAGCCGTTTTTTTCTACTGTGTTCCCCCTGATCGGAAAGAGGCTATTAACATGAAGTCGATCTTTGGAGCGTGGATTAAGTATTACTGATTCACCTTCATCAATATGACATTTGATCTGCTAGACGCCAATGAAAATGAGTAGTAAATTTAATTTTAGCCTGTCGTCAAGTCCGATGCACAAACTGACTTCAGGACACAAAACTGCCTGCACTGCGGACTGAATTAATTGCACGGGGCACAAGGTGGACACGGCTTGCTTTTCCCCTTGGGAGATTTTGCCCTCAAGTAGTGCTCATTCAACTGCGGTCACCGCGTTTACGGGTACAGCCATACTAAATTCAGGCCACTTGAACCCTTAACTTGTAAGCTGAGGAAGATGTTTTAGAAGACTGAGATAACCCTCTTTTTAAGTCTTCAGTAGTTCTAGACCAGAGTGGACATTTTCCAAGAATGCTGAGCTTCTTAATCACTTCTCATGAAAAAAACCAATGTTTTAACTGTTAAAAAGTAGCTTTTTACTAAAACTTGAAGAAAATACGTGAATCTAGGGGCACTAGCACATCACGTTCTTTGTTGACAATTGCAAGAATTCTTGCTTCGAGTCCGACACTACCATGTGCGTATCATTCAAACGATGAAGGAGCTGCCAGTTTAAATGTAAAAATGAGAAGGCTCATTTATTTTCCCTGTGTAAAGAAAAATGCGCCGAAATTGTTGGAAAATAAAAATTTCGGATTTTTGTTCAAAAAATTTAGTATGCAAACGGCGGCATTGATGTGTGTGTTTTTATTTCCTCTATCCCCATTTGCGTACATGTTCCTGCATCTCGGGGCTTGAAAGACGAAAAAAAAGTTGCGTCCAGCTTTATTCCGTTTTGCCTCACTGCACCGGAAATCTGCAGGCATTTTAATGTCATTTAACAGAACATTCTCTCTGTGGCTAAAATGAACTGTGCATAGCTGCGCAGTTACCATAAGTGACCATCGTCTCTATTCCGACTGAAAGTGTGGGCTGGGTCTTGCTCAGCGACAAAAATCGACTGCTGAGGGAACATTTCATGAAATCAAACGTCATGCTCCAAACACTACATTCCGTGATTTATAACCCTGATTTGATAATCATTGCAGAAGTGAAAAACCCGAACAGTCATGCGTGAAATAGGTGGCGCTATTATTCAGACAAATTCCGTTGACATAGCAACATTTGCTCGATGAAATACTGATTAATAAAAGCAAAGTCTGCTCAAAGAATTGGCACATCATGGTCCCTTAATGACCAATGTCTGTAGGCAGTTAAACTGACGCGCAAAGTTTGCCGATTGTGGCAGCACCAATCCTTGACGCATCGTGGATGAGAGGCCACAATGGGACAAGTCAGGGAATTTTTACTGCGTCATGAAATATAGAAAAGTTTCGACAGATTGCTCGAGATAGTTAAGATTTGTAGGCTTCTGCAAAAGTGCACACTAGAGAGGCTGTAAAAAGCCCCCAAAAGCTGTCATTTGTTTAATTCCTGCTTTGAAGCATATAATTTCATTGAAAGCAATTTCGGTGAATACACTAATGAGTGCTTGAGAAACATTTAAGGTTGGTTCCGGTAGATAGAGATCTACATGCCTGCCGAAAGTAAAAATATTAGGTTAATTCTACTAGTGTTGCTATGACAGCATAAATTAACAAAGAATAATTTGCAAGTTTATGGAAATTTCATAATGAAAATCAAACAGTTACACAAAGCTAAAATAATTTGTTTGTTGAAATGGCTGTCATCACAATCCGTAATCCCTTCCAAGACGACTCCAACAGACATTGAAGTACATTTAAAAAAACACTTCTTCTGTTGCATTAAATGGCTTGAGCATAGCCACCTCTGCTTTAATCAGACATTCATCCCAGAACCAACTGACCATTCCACTTGCCATGTGATCACGCAATTGTCGAATGGTATTATCAAAAAAAGGTATTAATTACCACTTGAAGAAGTATCGCTTGGGGAGAAAAGAAAGGATAATGATGTAGTTGCGGAAAGGGAATCACGTCCCTTAGGTCAAAACAGCTTTGTTGATGAGGGTATGCTAAAAAGTGGAAGAAAATAAGGGACACCGCACCGATAGACTGATGCTTGTCTACCCACACAAATAAAAAATCGCAGGTATTTTACAAGCATCTATAATTCATGAAGTAGCATTGCATAGGGCTCTTCCAATCTTTTCGACCACCTTGAAGGAAATCATTCATATCTGCCTTGTTAAAACAATCTATTTGGCAAATTTAGCACCCACAAAGTCTGTATTTTTGATACTCAGGGGCAATTTGAATGATACTGAAAACCCATATTCGTGTGGAACTACCGTCAGGGTAGTCAGTCCATAGCGATGGTGGTTTACACTATCCGCAAAGTTTTGGGTTTTGCATTTAACTTGGCATTTCACACACTTCATAAACTATCTAGCTTTTAAAGTGGAGTATTTTGCGGAGCCAAACCCACATTTATTTGTACTTCTTGATGGAATTACTTGATCAGCAGAATGATTTCCCCTAAGCATATATTTCCAGTGTCAAGTGAAACTAAAATTGCTTCATTTTTGCTAAATGACATAAGGAGCGGATAAGACTTGCAAACAAGATTAGTTTACGAGGGCAAAAAGAGCACCTGTGAAGGTATTTGGCCATAAAGTTACCCCTGAATGTGACTTCAGCTGACGCAGGGCAAGTGGGTGAAGAACTGGAAACGGTTCTTGAAGGTGAACAGCACTTGAAGCACACAAAAGTATAAAGTTAGTAAACATTGCAATACTTCTGTTGGTCAAGTGAAGTGAAGTATGAAACAAGGCAGCATTTACGGGAAGAGAATAGTGAAAGCTTTTATTTATTCATTCATTTTTATCATTCCCAGAATCGAAGGCTTTCCCAGCTGAATACGTTTTAAGCAACTTTTTTACATCGAAAGGGTAACAATGGGTAGAAATGAAAAGCATGGTCTCTACAAGTCGCTTTACCAGCTTATAATTGTTTTACATGAGATTCTTAGGGTTACTCGGTCCTGGTATTGAAAATAATCTCATATGAAAATCGCAATATATCACATTTCATCTGTTTTTGTAGTGAAACATCGTGGAATCCCTAATGATATTGCACCGGGGAAGATGATGTATTGTTTTCTTCGCCCGCAGGAAAGCGATCGAGACGCGGCTGTCATAATTAATCCGCTTTCAAGGGAATAACTAAGGAAGCTAAATATGCGGATAAGAACATTGTTAGGACAGACACAACTTTCATGGAAATGATATTTTTTAGTTCCTAGGGTCTAGCAATGAAGCGAAGCTGGTTTATACCGTCATTTTATACCTCAGGGTTATACTACTTTACTAATGTGTAATTAGAAGAACTCAATCAAGTTCAGAATTAATTTTCCAAAAGCACCTTATAGGTTTCACATGTCTTGAAATCGAATGAGTAAACCTTAAGGTAAACTCCCAGTCTTAGGTATGAAAAATCTACGAATCCATTTTAATAAAAATGTACTTTAAATCCTACCCATCCTTTGTCCTTGAGACGGTATTAGTTGAAACTGTTCAATGACAATCAAATAAAAGCGCTCAAAGGTTTAATTAAACAAAAAAGGTGCTATCTCACATACAGGATAGAATGAGATGAACTGTTGAACATTGGGAATATTGGGTGAATAAAGCCTTCTTTTTTAAATGCAGTTAACTAGATCAAGCTAATTTTCCCCTCAACTTCTAGTAGTAATTTTGCGTTATTGTGGGACACTGGTTCAAAGCACCCCTATTATGCGATCAGACGGTATGAAGCATCTCAAGTCATCTCTGACACCCTGATAACAGTTGTCTTTGTCTGAATACTTTGAGTCAACTAGACACCGTCACAATATTGTTAAGAGAAGCATGGAGACTAAGTTATGTATATAAACAAAAACAGCCATTAGCCAAATACCTTCTTCTTCGAGATCGGTCTC